GAGGAGCGAGGAGAGGGGCATACGCTGACTGAACCAATGAGAAGATCCTATAAAATTTGAATTTCGCCGATCATAACTTATGTCTAATGTCTTATGTCACACAAACTCGAAGATCTACAGGCAAAAGCCAACAAGTTGACAGAAGAGGCTAGGCAGCGAAGACGGGACTTCAAGTAAACGTAGAGAAGAGAGAGGTGATGAAGATACACCACCAACAACCAATAACGAGCACCAGTCACCATCAACGGGAGAAATTTAAAGGAAGTAGTCTCTTTCACCTAACTATGCAGCAGCGTTTCAACTACATGCGGCGGTGGCACAGACGAGGATGTCAAAACCAGGATCGGAAAAGGAAGACAGGCTTTCATCAATCTGAAATCAGTGTGGCGATCTACTGCACTCTACTCAGCACAAAGCGTGAACAACATCCGAAATTTCAACATCAATGTCAAGTCAGTGCTTCCATATGGTCCAGAAACTTGACGCGTTACGAAAAGCATTTCCAACAAATTACAGACATTCATCAACAACTGCCTACGCTCACTCGATACTGAATATCGATCAGATGGCCAGAATAGTGCGAACAAGCTAGAAGGAACTGTGGCTGACAACGAACGAACCAAGAAGCCACCGCCCAACAAATATGCAGAGGAAGAGAGTGGAGATGGATTGGGTCAGACATACACTGAGAAGGCCGACTGGGGACATCACGCACCAGGCCAGTCCCCCGATTGGTATCCAGATGGGAAAGGACGAGTTGGGTGTCCGAGGGTGACAAGGGGTAAGATGGTTTGATGAAGAAATGAAAGCTTGTGGGCAGTCATGGAGCCGTGTTGAAAAGATTTCAGTGGCTAGAGTGAAATGGCGACGTGCTATCGAAGCTGTATGTTCCATTAGGAACCCAAGGGAAAAATAATAATGATGTAGTCCATCTAGTTCTCACTTTGGAGCCTTATAGGGAATAATGGATTTATGGTGATATTCGCCACGGACTGATATTTGTTGGAGAACCATTAAAAGCCTGTGAGCACCGAACAACTGTTTCGTTCTATCATGGTACTCCTCAGTGGCGTGCACCCGTGACGGCGCCAGGAATCAAACCTAGGACCTTCATGTTTGGTGGTGAGCACACTACTATTCAGTCACTGGGTCAGAATCCAACGGTCTACATTTACCTTCCTCTGTCAAGTCGGATGTGAGAACAAATACCCAGAGATTGTGCTGAATGATTGTTGCGCTACATAACGGATTGACAGAAGTAGGAAAGTGTGAACCATCTGACACCGACCCAGTAGCTCAATGATAACGTTCTCCCCGTGAGACTGTAAAATACTGGGTTCAACCCCCTTGCCCCCGACATTGTCTTTTTATTTTTATCAAAAACCCCGAAAAAATTTCTATATATAAATTTTCGTTTTAATTTTATCCCCAAATTTGAAAGAACAAAGTTTTGAAAATCAATAGCTTTGTAATAGATACTTAAACTTTAGTGAAGGGGAATATCATATTTTTAACAAATCGGAATTGGAGTCTTACTTATAAGTATAAAAAAAATTGTCCCACTAGGATAGTTAATCCAATGGAGAGTGTATCCATCACTTTGAATCAGCTAACACACAATAAGGTGAGACAGACTAACAGTTCTAAAGACTAATATAGTTAGGTGAGAGAAGAAGCTGATCATTGAATCTTCGCTCATCACAACAATACGAATGATTCGACAGCAAGTCTTTTGAATAATGTAGTTTATAGACAGGCGAAAACTAACAAGTTGACAGAAGAGGCGAGGCAGAGAAGACGGGACTTCAAGTGAATGTAGAGAAGACACCAACACCAACTAGCTCCTATCACCATCAAGGGGAGAAATCTAAAGGATGTTGCTATTTCACCCACCTATCTAGGCAGCATCGTTTCAACTACAGGTGGCGGCACAGACGACGACGTCAAAGCAACCAGGATCGAAAATACAGCAAGACAGGCGTTCATTAACCTGAAACCAGTGTGGAGATCTACTCCACTGCACTCAGCATAAAGCGTGAACAACATCCGGATTTTCAACACCAACCTCAGTCAAGTCAGTGCTTCTGTATGGTTGAGAGACTTGGCGTGTTACGAAAGGCATTCCAACAAACTACAGACATTCATCAACAACTGCCACCTACGCTGGCTCGATACTGAATATCGATCAGATGGCGAGAATGATGAGAATAAGCCACAATGAACTGTGGCTGGCAACGAACTAACCAGCAACCTATCGCTCAACAAACATGTAGTATCGGGAAGTGGAGATGGATTGGGCATGTACTGAGAAGACCATTCGGGGACATCAAGCGCCAGGCCAGGCACTCGAGTGGAACCCAGATGGGAAACGGCGAGTTGGGCGTCGGAGGCGAGGGTGACATGAAGGAGATGGTGTGAGGAAGAAATGAGAGTTTGTGGGAAGTCGTGGAGCCAGGTTGAAGAGAATGGAATGGAGACGTGCTACTGAAGCTGTATGTTCCGCTAGGAACCCAAGGGAGGAATAATAATAAATAATAATTCATCACAGACTGAAATCATTTGGAGAATCACTGAAATCCTGGGAGCCCTAGACAGATGTTTCGTGCTAGTAGGCAGCAGTACACACACACGACCATGCCGAAGATGAAACTAGGAACATTTAGGTTTCACACAGAACTTGTAAACATTCAGTCACTGGTTTGGAATTCAGTAGTCTACAATTTCCTACTTCTGAATAAATATTATTAAAAAAATTTCAACTGCTAGTGTGATCACAGGCAGTAATTTTACCCGAAATATTACCAAAATAAAAACTTATCATTGTGTGTAAAGTTGTCATTAAAAATCCACTTCTAACAAATTGATTCGTCCCACAATGTACAAACTTTTCATTTATATACGTATGTTAACATTAATATTATTATTTATCCTTTGGGTTCCAAATGGAACATAGGGCTTCAGTAGCACATCACCATTTCACTCGTTTTTCTGTAGTCTTCTGAACCTGGCTGTCGACTGCTCACAAGCTTTCATTTCTTCATCAAACCATTTCCTCTATGTCACCCTCGAACACCCAACCCGTCGTTCCCCATTTGGGTTTCACTCGAGGGAATGGCCTAGCACGTGATGCCCCCAAACGGTCTTCTCAGTTTATGTCCAACCCAATCCATTTTCACTCTCTTCCTTTGCATTTTTTGGGCAGTGGGTTCTTGGTTGGTTCGTTATCAGCCACAGTTCCTTCTTGATCATTCTCATTATTCTGACCATCTCAACTTCAGTGTCAGTATCGACTGAACGTAGGTGGCAGCTGTTCATGTGATGTATGTCCACAGTTTGTTGGAAATACTTTTCGTAAAGCGCCAATTCTCTCAACCATCATACAAAAGCACTGAATTACTTGACATTAGTGTTCAAAATCCGGATGTTGTTCACGTCTTATGCTGAGTACAGTGGATCTCCACACTAATTAATTCAGATTAATGAAGGCCTGCCTTTCTGGACGTGGCTTTGATATCATCTGTGCCGCCTGCAGTTGAAACGATGCTGCCTAGGTAGGTCGGTGAAATAGATAACTTCCTTTAAGTTTCTCCCGTTGACGGTGACTGGTGCTTGCTGTTGTTGGTTGGGTATCTTCATCACCTTTGTCGACTAACATTGCTATTATTATAAGTAAAGGTTCTAAAATCAGTAAGCTCAAGAAAATGTTTTAAATCTAAGGTTTCTTCGTTTCGTACCACACATACTACTCATTGCCATAAGAAGTTGGTAATCAACAGTTAGATCGATGCGACCTAAACAGCTGATAGCCGTTTTACTTGTTTTGTGGAGATTTCATTATTCATATTCCCAAATTAGAGGATAACTTTCACGTGAGTTGTGCGAGGTGATGTAGACTACCTAGTTGCGGCCTAGAAGACGACAAGGAATCAGTGGTTGAGGAATGTCGGTGACATGGCTGAAAATCCATTACAATGGCACAGATGTATTTACTCATTGATATCTGAAGGTTGAATATTCACACTAACCTTTATCTTTGGGATGATTATTCTCTAACACAACTTTATCTTTTTGATATCACTCTTCTTCTCTCCACCTATTTTTTGTGTACTCTCATGATGTGTGGTGACTTAAGCCGATGTGCATGTGTGTGAGGTTCTACAAAAAATTGATTTGATTGGTTTGGCTTATTTATCTGCACTTTTCCATATTTTAAACTTCCACTCAGTCAGTCATGAGGCCAAGTCTAAACGACACCGTAGCAACGATCGAAATAACCAATTAGGTTTCTTTATTTCGCCTTCAAAGGCAAATTTTTATAAAATAAGCAAGTCTAATTGGTTATTTCAGTTGTTGCTAGGATGGTCGTTAAAGTCACCGTTACAGTCACTTCTTATCATGATCACTATAGGGCTTGACATTACTGCTTAACGGTTTATGTGCTCAAACTTTACACCGCTGCATTGAAAGAAATGTAATCAAGATTGTCGAAAGTCATAAAAAAAAAGAGGATGTAAAGCGAATGAAATGTGGTTTAACACCATGGACTGGTATCAATTACAGGACGTTGACCCAGCACTAGGTGTCTACTCCTGAGGTGTCCCATGCTTGGACGAAACAGCTGTTCAATACTCTCAGATTTTCAACTGTTCTCCAATTGATGTTAGTCCATGATGAATACCAACTTGAAATCAATAAATCGCCACAAACCTCTAAGTTAGGAGACATACAATGTATGGATGCAACTGCTCCACCTATATCAGTATTGAGTTGAGTTGAGTTGATGGGCAGTAGACTCACTTGAACAACATGCTACTTGTATCGTGGTTGAGTAGGTTATATTTACCTGGAAATCTCTTAGAAATGGTCGACTCAGTAGCTCAGTATAGGTTCAGTTTATGACTACAAAAATGAATTAATGTTCATTAAACCTACGGCTCTCAGGTTAATGAAACAAAGAAATGGGAAAATGAATAAAATATACACAGATGCATTCCACTCACCTGGCATAATACTTGACCCAGGCTCATTCGCAGGTAAAATAAATTCATTTAGACCACAGCTTGGTCCAGAGCTAAGTAAACAGAAATCATTGGCCAGACGCATTAAGGCTGTAGCAATGGTATTAAAAGAACCACTTAACTGTAATAAAGCATCATGACCAGCTAGAGCAGCAAATTTATTTTTCGCTGGTTTGAATATTAGGTCTACCACTGGTGGAGATTCTTTATACATCTGAAAAAAAGGTGTAGAGGATGTAATTTGAATAACAAGTTTGCTAATTCGTGAATCTTTCCATTTAAATGTTTTTCAATGAAATAATTTATACAAACTTGTTGTTGTCAATAGACCTAAGACACCGCACTATTACCGAAGCTTCCAAGAAGAAGGAAGACATATATGTTCATCATACCCTTATGAAATATATCATGCAGAGATATTTTTGTATTTCTACGGATCATCTGAAGAAAAACTACGCATGTCATTTATGAAAGTGTGTGAAAGATATCAGAGGAATACAGATCATGATAATTCCATCAACCCGCAGAATGAATCACCTTGCCATGCATCAAAGAAGTCTGAGAAACTGTTAACCAAAAACTTCATCCATTCGGTATCAGCAGCGCACACAACCCAACTAAATCCCTGCAAAATATCTTATGCAAGATAAAGGATTCACTATCTGAAAAATATAAGAGAAATATAACCTAAAAAAACTGGTTGAAAGGCCTGCTAATTATGCTTGTCAACCCAGTCGTTGAATAGTCCAAATAGTTGATGAGTATCAAACGACATGATATATAATCATTGATATCGATGCATGTAAATACTACAGCAAGCTTAAAAACTACAAAATAGTTTTTTGAGGCAAAATCATTTGTTTCTGACTTATAAACTACTCTTACTGAAAAACACATCAATATCTGACTTGCCAAAACTTTCCTTCCAATAAGATACGTATTTGTGACGTTATGACATAAATTTTTAAATTCTTTCGAATTTATAGTGTATTCATCTGTTTGTAACATCATTCTTCTGTTTTATCATACCTAGTTTTTGTCCCTTGATCTAAGCTATTTCAAAATTCTGCAATAACTCTGTGTTTAAGTACCATGGTATATAAGCATAGCTGATCCCCACCACTACACTACACAGAAATACAAAATAGTTGGACTGTCACCTAAGGTCCTCAGCTAGCATCCACTTCACTTCCGACTGGTTGACCCCACACGTCACGGCTTCTCATTCATCTCAAAAATGGATTACTGTATAGTGCTCATTAGTGACTTGCTTCCAGATGGATATCGGGAAGCTCTAATGAGAAACCGTGACGTGTGGGGTCAACCAGTCGGAAGTGAAGTGGATGCTAACTGAAGACCTTGGGTGATAGTCGCACTATGTTATGAATTGACAGAAGTTGGAAATTGTGAACCACTGGAGACCGACCCAGTGGCTGAATGGTTAACGTGTTCACCGTGAGACGTGAAGGTCCTGAGTTCGATCCCTAGCCGGGTCGTGAGTGTGCATTGTTGAGGAGTCCCATACTAGGACGGAACAGCTGTGCAATGCTCCCAGGTTTTCAATGGTTCCCCAACTGATGTCAGTCTATGATGAATACTACTTCTAAATTAAAACTCCTCATTCATCTCAAAAAAAGAGTTGATTTTATCACGTTTCAATGCTCCTCCTCCCTTTTTTCTAAGTTGATGAAAAAAAATGCGTGTGTGTGTGTGAATGATTCTGTTTACCAGAATAGAGTACGTTGATAAAAGTAATCTGTCAGGAAAGTTGACTGCAAGGCTTGGTTACCTTTGTATGATAGCTAGACTTGCCTGTCATATAACGGACGACCTTAAATGTCACCCTCGCAACCAATTAGGTTCCTTCATTCCGGCTGAAAAAGCATATTGATATAATAAGTAGTCTGACTGGTTATTGCAGCAGTTGCCAAGGTGGCCTTTAAAATTGAATGGCTTTAAGGACCACCCTAGCAACTTCTGAGATAACCAATCAGGTTTCAGAACTTCAACAGGACAGGTAATTTTTCGTAGAATAAAAGAGTTTAACTGGTTGTCTCGGCAGTTGCTAGGGTGGCCTTAAAGTGAGTGACTTTAAAGGCCACCCTACCAACGATCGAAATAACCAATTAGGTTTCTCTATTTCGCTTGGAAAGGGAAATTTTCATAAAATAGAGAAGTTCAATTGGTTATTTCAGTTGTTGCTAGGATGGCGTTTAAAGCCGCTCATAGGACTATTTTTTACATGATTTTATCCACACAATACACAAGTTTAATAAGGTATGGCTGAGTTTTTGTATATGGTTGTGCGTGCATACAGTTTAACATATTTACTTCTTGTCTCCCTCCATGACAGACATGGAGAGAGGTGTGAATACAGAAGAAGCTTGTCATCAGACAAAATATTTTTAGCAACCTGTCTACAAGAGTTCAGATGCCTCTCCAAAACTCCAATTATCAGCACGGTTAGTGGTGTACTGTACCAGCTATCAAAATCCTACGTAATAAAACGTAGTCAATTTTCCAGAGTTCAGGAAAGAATAAGGGGGAACAATAAGTAAGTATAAGCAAAACAAAAGAATTAATAAAACGTAAGGGTAGAAGCTGAGTTATACTAGACAGTCTCAGCTTCCTTATATGAAAGGTCACACGAAGAATTGTTCTGGAAATCAGTAAAATATGAAGGGACTAAAAAAGATCAGAGGAAAAGAGCAAACCAAGATGGACGACACTTGATACATACTCTACAACACATCCATCAATAATACAAGAGCCATGGAACTGAAGAATAACATGCATTACAAAATAAACGGAAGAGAAATTCAGCGGAAATGAATAGCTGTTAAAAACAAATAATAATGACAATAATAAAAGTAATAAAATGTTAAAAATTTATGCAAATATTCAGCACGAATGTGACAGTATGTTTGGTATCCTTTAAGCTAGGTTACCTAATCTCCCCACTGAAGGACTGGTAAGATCAACAGACCCGAGTCAAGCAGCCTACGACCCTTCATACGTCTCAGAAAAACAGCTATTGAGCCCATTCATTTGCATCATGTTTTGGTTCAGTTATCCTTAGCTTTATTTCAAGCCAGTATTACCTTAGTCCACGTAGAAATTCAAGGTAGAAAGTGACTCTGCTTGGACAATGCATATTCCAAATAACTTGGCCGATCTAGTTCCTAAATATCATAGCCTGAACTGTGATTATTGTCTAGGATTCTATCCTTAGGATATGTGATGATGAAACAAGCTGGTCTTACTAGAAAGATACTTCTGGCCTGATGTAAGCTGGTTAACTAAATTATACAGCGAATGCAGTCAATGAAGTCTAAGAAGATAATAGCATGGCTAACATTTCGGATTTGTTGGACTAACCTAGAAATCCTGGCTTAATATCCAACATATAAATAATGCAAATTAAAAATTTCTTGAAGAAAAGAGGTACCCGCTAAGATTTAAGGTTGTACGTAGAGATTATGCATATTTATATTTTTAAATGCATTTTTGAGAATTCTGAGATATCGACTTTAGTCAGCACAGGTTTCGTTATTTTGATGGTATTATAATGCAAGTTTGTGGAGATCTTCTGCGCTCAGCATGCGGAACGAGATCCGGATTTTCAACACCAACCTCAGTCAAGTCAATGCTTCTGTATGGTTCACAGACTTGGCGCGTTACGAAAGGCATTTCCAACAAACTACAGACATTCATCAACAACTGCCACCTACGCTGGCTCGATACTGAATATCGATCAGATGGCCAGAATAATAAGAATAAGCAACAGGGAACTCTGGCCTGGTAACGAACTAACCAACAACGCTCAACAAATATGCAGTAGCAGGAAGTGGAGATGGATTGGGCATACACTGAGAAGGCCGACTGGAGATTTCACGTGCCAGGCCAGACCGTCGAGTGAAATCCAAAGGCAAAACAACTAGTTCGGCGTCGGTACCGAGGGTGACATGGAGATCATGTGAGGAAGAAATAAAAGCTTAAGGGCAGTCGTGGAGTCAGGTTCAAAAGATTGCAGAGAACAGAGTGGAATGGAGAGGTGCTACTGAAGCCCTGTTCCATTAGGAACCCAAGGGACAAATAATAATAATAATGCGGGTTTAGACTTCTGCTTCACTTAGTTACAAAATGTATTTTAATGTGACAATATGCTTTGAGTATTTAAAAGTTCTGTTCGGTAACGGACAATAGTGCTGGTGAACTTTATGTTGTGATTAGTTTGTTGAAAGAAAGACATATATGTCTGGAAAATTGTCTGGATACTAGTGTTTGATCGGACCATATAAGAAACAGCTGACTAGCGTCCTATATGTCATTTCAAAGATTTTTCGAAAAAAAATATTCTAAATGGCGGTTGCGATATCCACCCATAGAACTATCATGTAATGCGCTATGTGCAACTAAATGATCCTAGGTACTGTCCTCTTCGGCAGGTTTTCCATAGTACGACGTAAATAAATGAATTCCACGTCCTGACAGAGTGTGGTTTCTTTATCTATAGAAATTAGCGGATTAAGGTCATGTGTAAAGCATATTAGATTTACGCATTTAAAATAGCATAAAGTGATACGTTGTTGTTTGCTGGATTAAGCTTCAGACATGATTTCTTGACCATAATCATATCACCTTCGAGTGAGAACACTACTTCTTTCACAGATGGCTTAACGGAGTTCTTTCTTTTGTCCTCTAAGGTTTGAACAGCGATTCTGAAAGGACAGAAGCCACTATGAGAAGCTTTTAAGGTTGCTTATTTGAATTTTTTTTTGAATAAGAAGTCGTTGATAGACATTAGAGTTGTGCTGGCACTCCCTCTCAAATGACAATAGCCAAGTTTTATGAGGGGACAGTTTCTTGAAGATTCGGCAACTTCAATCTCGAAAAGACTAGAACGTAAAAATTGGGATACAATTACAGCTGCTGCGTTAATCGCAGAAATCACTGTCAACCTCTAATCCCTCAATTGGAAAGAGGCGGCTCATTTGCAAAAATGCAACCATCAGAGACATTTGAACCGACGTCATGTCTAGCTGCCTTTTCAATGCGAACCTACTCAAGGTGCATTGCTCAACGGTGTAGACGGTGACTAGGCATACCAGGCATGTCTACTTTAAGGAAACTTCATTTGTATATATGAAGTTATTTTAGAAATTTCTCATGTTTATCATACTGGTTCATAGAACCGTCCTCGTAATATTATGCATTAAACCAAACGAGCTGGTTGCTGACGAAATCACAGCTCAGAAACAAAAGGCCGTTAAGCACTTGCCAACTTGCGTCATCTGTGGCGCCGACTGGTGAGATATACAACTACCTATTAAGAGACGAGTATAATGCGCTGCAGTCAGTTTCATCCTGTTGTACGCATGCGAGGCATGGCTCTTGAAAGTGCAAACCTTGGTCGACTGAGGTGGCTTGGACATGTACTGTGCATGCCAAGCCACCACCTACCTCAACGTACAATGATACGCTAATTAGGATTAGGTTTAGAGAGGGATGAATGACCAGACAAAACCTGGCACGATTCGATGAAAACTCTTACTGTTGATCTGAGTCATGTGGGGATATGTAGATTGTCTGATTGAGGTCCTCGAGATGATAGCAATCAGTTGTCGAGGAATCCTGTTGACCTGATGGAAAATCGGTCACAATGGCGCAGATGTATTTACTACTTGACATCTAAAGCTTGAGTATTTGCACTGACCGTCATCTTCAAACTGGTCATTTTGTCATACAACTTTATCCACTTTGATATAACTTTTTTATCCACCTATTCATTGTGTACTACTGTGTATACAAATTAAATCAATTTACTATGTGCAAGGTTTTACGTTGACTTTGTCTGATGTCTGTCTCATATGGTTATTAGTTCATGGCCTATAAAAAGGAAGTTTCATCCATTGGTTTTATGTGGTGGATGTGTCAGAACAAGAGTGGATGGGATGAGGTGAATAACCAACAGTCATAATCAGATTAACAGATGCAGAGGTTTAAGGCATATTACAATAAGCTACAAAAGGCACGGATGTACTTGGACGCGCAACTGCCTCTGGAGCATCTATATGGACTCCGAATACGCTTTATTATGTCCTGAATTTATTCAGTATAGGCCAATTTGTTATACCTGGTTAATAATGAATATCAAGTCTATGACACCTCAAGAAAGTTCAAGTGAGCATTGACTGGACACACTACAGGCCACTATAACAGTGAGTACAACTACCAGTGGCTCTGATAAGTGTATGTCTGGTAGATATAGGATCTTTATGGGTTCCTTGAAGCTTCTTGATGCTCGTTAGTCTATTTTGGCAAGAAAGTACAGTAGTATACGTATGCTTTCGGGAAGAAATTAAATATTTATGACGTAAAGGCTTTTGAACTTGGAAACGAAAACGTGTGAGTGGGGTGATAGAAACATCTGCATTCGGAAAAAACCAGAAGCTGTCCCAGCTTAACACAATGACTGACAGTTATCAGTCTGGTTTCAGTGAAACAGTCTGCTAAGTAGACTGCATGCCGATCAACAAGCTTCAGAAATGGATAAAACTTCAAATGAAGTACTCCGAAGTACCTGTGAATTTTTTTAGTCCACCACTGGGTTGAAGAATAAATTTCCCCTCATCTTTTAAAGGATGGAAGGGAGGGTCTAGTCAAGCAGTTGTTTGGGAAAGTACCGGTTTTTAGTAAGAGCCTAGGTAAAGAATGTGACAATCGTTTGTGTATCGGCGCATCACCAGATTTCAAAAATATTATTTGCTGTCATGATTCACAGACACTGAGAAACACATGAAAAACTTAGTTCCGATAGGGAGGTTCAGTGTAGTTCAGGATACGGATACTATTGTCACGTATAAACCACATATCAAATGTTTGAAAGCTGTCATAAGGTGTGCAAACCAGCAGTCTTAGCATCTCTCAATATTAGGATTACCTTTAATTATTTGTACGGGACCAAGCCCTAGGGTAGTAAACCCAAAATAAAAGTCCGTGGTAAAATAAATAATTCTTGAGAGCTCTGTAAATAGTTATTCCAGGTAAGATGTGAGCATGCAACCACTTTCCTTAATAATTCCAAATCAGAAAAGGAATTTGGTACAGCCTGTAAGTGTTTCCACTACTCTTCAACTTTTCCATTGATGAAATTTTCGAGGTAGTTCTGAAGAAGCGTATTGAAGGAGAGGATCAACAATCAGAAAAAAGCCTTTTGTGCGCTGAATATGTGAATGAAACCATCCTACCACGTGAAAAAGTAAGGGACTATTTAAATTCGAGTTTATCAGCTAGCAGTGTCCAGAAGTACAGTGTGTTCTTTACACCGACAAAATGTTTTTGAAGAATTGGTAGAAGCATGTACCTGTCACTCCCTCTTGGACACGAGCCTTTAAGTAATTAAAGAGTTCATGCATCTGGGCAGTTATACAAGTGCTAGTAAATGTATCAATTATATTTCCATTCGTACAGAGAAAGCCAGAGTGACACGTCAATCTGGAACACTTTTGGTGTCACCTGGATAATAGTGGAGCTACAAAAAGTCAAGAGTACAAGGCTCTAGCGTGGGCAGTTCTACACTATACTTGTGAGACCTGACTTTCTTAACTTGATATATACGATGATTCTGCATGATTATCATTCTGACAATTTTTATGTTTTCACAGGATTACAAGCCTAAGGACTGATGGGTGAAGCAGAGAAGTGGTAATTATATTAAATAGCATAGCAAAGGTGAGAGTTGTTGTATTGGTAGCTGTTAATGCCTCAAGACTTGCTGAACGAGAACCAAGAGATAGTAAAACCCAGTGTTTTATAATTATACTAAAAAGGATTCGCAACTGAAACTAACAGTGATGATGCATAAGTCACTTGCCCTCTGTTTATGTCGGGCGGCTTACACTGTGAGGTTTTCGGGTGTATGTCATAGGACTAGGTGTCTGAGTAATCTGTACTTTTGACTAAAAGCTTCATATTCTCAGATTCATAGTCATTGTTTATTACTTCGCCTAGCATATTCCTTGGTGTTTTTGTCGAAAATAAAAAAGTTGTGTGTTGTAAAGTTATTTAGTATGTACCCATCGAAGACAAAGATTTCTAGAGATTGTTATGATGCCACCAAAAATTGAATTTAAATTCGCAAGTGGTATCCACTTACTGTCTCATCCGTTTAAGGCCATATAAAGATATTCTAAATACGTTGGCTGGTTACTGGAGAGCAACCAATTCCATTTTGTCTGGTCCTGAGTACCGATCGAATTCTATCGATCACTTTGCAATGTGACCACAAGCTAGTAGGCTCACCAGTACCATTTAAATAAAATGACTTACATATCCTTAGTGGTTATAAGTACTAAGAAGGTTCTGTAAACAAATGCTGTCCTAATGCTTATTGATCTAAGGGTTAACTACTATAAACAAAGTATAATGCGTAATGATAATTAAGGTATTTCCGCAAAGGGTGGTATGCTACTGCAATGACTCAATATAAATGTAAGTCACAAACCCACAAGAAACCCTTCAAAGTACTTAATCTGAGTTTAAAAATAACAAGACCTTCGCTGGAGACCTTAGACTTCAAAAGTCACAGGGTAGTGTTAGCCAAGGACAGAAAGCAACTAACACTTAAGAAACAGAAAGATCTGTGTGGTAGTAAAAGATGACTAAAATGAAATTATTACCACTCTAAAAGCAGCTAATAAAGATCAATCAACAGGGGGTCACGATGATAATTTACTGAAACATACATAGCTATTTCAACAGTAACCACCAAAAGTTGGTGAAAGAATAGGAGTCCGAAAAATTAGTCTAAGTTAAAAAAAAGTGGCAAAGTTAATTCAGGTGGATTTAGAAACAAGACTTTACAACGTATTCATCGTAACTTTCCATATTAAATTTTACGATATGAGCATACCAACGTAAGTTAATTAGAAAATAACGTGATTTCAAGGGTTTAACTCACATCTACACAACGAGTTTTTGTTAGCTCCGTTAGTGTCTTGCAAAATTCCTCATCGAAACCTTCACAACAATTCAGTCCAGTACCTACGGCTGTTCCACCAACAGCTAGGTAACAAACTGCTGGCAGTTGAAGTTTGATGGAATTTACTCCCTGCTGGAGTTGGTCAACATATCCACTTAATTCCTGTCCAACGCTTATTGGAACTGCATCCTACGATGAAGATGTAAATTGCAAACAAAATTTACCTGCATGTGTGTCCGTCCAATTTTGATAACATCCATGAATTCATTCATTTTATATTCGAGAGCATTTATGAGATATATGAGGGATGGCAAAACTTTCCAAGAGGTCTCCATTGCAATGCTTAGGTTCATACAAGTCGGAAAGATATCATTTGAACTCTAAAAGTACACATATAGTAGGTACGTAAAAACTAACTTGTCCAAGATTGACATGGTCGTTAGGGTGGACAATGGCTTTGGAATCTCGTGATCTTTCAATCAATTCAGTGGCTCTATTTGACAATACTTCATTGACATTCATATTGGTCTGGGTACCAGAACCAGTTTGCCAAATTACAAGGGGAAACTCTTCATCATGCTGCCCTTGATATACTTCATGACATGCTTGGATAATCGCTTGGGATATCTCCTTGTTTATTCTACCCAGTTTGAAATTAATAGATGCAGCTACTTCCTTTATCATAGCCAGTGAATAAATTATCTGTAACTGAAAGAATGAAAAGTTGGGTATATTTTATCAGGAAAGAGTACTGGCATTTTGTCGGATTTCGAGCAGATATTAAAGTTCTTGAGAGATCTAGCAGTTTGGGCGCCATAATAGCGGCCAACAGGGACTGGAATTTTACCGAGACTGTCCTCTGCAAAGCGAAAACCTGCAGGTGAACCGTTCATCGTGACAACTACAAAAACGTTTGAAGAAGCAACCACATATATTGTTTTAAACGATATCTTTCAGTATAGCGTTTCTACTAAAAATATATACAGAGAACATTAATTAATAATGAATTTATCGTTAGGTCCCTATATCAACGCAAGTATTTCCATGTAATTTCTGTGGTCTTTCTAAATGACTTCGTTACAAAGTTTCATTGGGTTAGGTCAATCCGTACGTTTCGGCCTTTGCAGACTGCTACCTTCTCCTTCATGTATATCAGAAGTCACTCATCCTTTTATCGTCATTGTGGTTTACTAAGAGATTCTACCAATTGTTCACTGAAAGGGACATTAAGTACTTGTGATAAACTAGTTTATGGTGACAAAATCGCTCGAACCGATCCCACCCGTTATCGGACATGACCACCGAAGTAAAACCACCTGTCTTGTTGAAATGATAAACTCAGTCGCTAGGGAATTACTTCAGACTGAAAGTATGTTTCACCTGGAGTGTGGTATTCAAGTAGTTAACCATTGTAGTTTGAAGCGTAGATATTTGCGTTGTCCTAGAGGGTAGAGACCACGATGGTCAAGTAGCTTTGCCACCTCGTCTGTTAAGGAAGTTGGATGAATTAAGTCTTTCTCCATTACCATGTCGCAGGATGAGGTTCGGTATTTAAATGCAACGTATCTGGAATGACTACTTACACTCCAGCTAATACATTTTCCATCTTCTCAGGGATTGATTATCTCAGTGGATATTGTCACAGTTCATAAACTATGGTCGAATCGTCTACATCTGGGAGTAGGTTTCTTGCATATAGTTGTAAACCAGTGAATACCAATAGTATTTAGAAACAACAAATTTTCGCCCCTATTTGTTATTCGCACTGCACGCCAGCAGCAAACAACAATCAGTATAAAGCGTAACCTGGGACGAATGGTTAGGATTGTAAATGATTGTCTGAGTTTATTAGTGAATTCTACGACCCAGACTTTCTATCATCCCCGAACGTCATCCAACTTTCTGTAAGGTTTGTCAGGTGTTAGAAACTTCTGTGAAAGCTATTTTGCAAAATCGACTATAGGTTGTTACTTTCTGGGTTAACTGTGATTCTCTTGACTACTATTTATAGGATTATAACTACAGTACTTCTCAGGCTTATCAGTCTTTAATTTAATGGGTGCAGCCTAGAAACTGCCTTTTGAATTGATGACTACGGAGTGCTCGTTACCATAACTAAGTATACCTTGACTGAGGGAAAGTTTGAATATTCCGTTCAATGTGGCAACTGCGTCGGATGCAGGCTCTTTGAACAACTTTGGGCGTAGTTCATCCAGTCCCGTTGATTTCCACATATCCGAAGTACTTTCTATCTTAACTATATCATTGCAGTGAACGTTCACAGAGCTTGTTGTTTTTGGTTGTCGGTGTTGTGTCCATTGGGGGTCCTTGGGTAAGTACGTCGTAAGTGCATCATCTGTGATGCTGACTGGCAAGATATCCAACTATGTATGAAAGAATAAGCATGCTGCGTTGCAGTTTGTTCTGTCATGTTGTACGGCTGGAACCTGGCCGTTAATAGCAAGACATGAAGCGGTTACAGAATTTTGATCACAGGTGTCTTCGTAGCATTGTTCGGGTTCGGTAGAATCACTGTGTGAGCAGTGTTAAGGTTAGGCGAGGGTACTAGGCAAGGAAGACAAATCGATTGATGGGGCTGTGAATCTTAGTGGACTGAGATGGTTGGGACATGCTCATGGCGAGCCACCACCTACCTATGCGTGCCGTGCTAGGGGAAGTTGGAAGAGAATTCAGGGTAGTCAGACAAAGACTTGGCACCAGTCAGTGAATTCCCTGACGGCTTGAGCCGTATGGAAAGGTGTACACTGCCTCGTCTAGCTGTCTGAGACCCACCTGGTTTTCTCGAGTTTGTTGTTCCCGAGCTCATTTTAAGCGTTGGATAACTATAGACGCAATATAAGTCAAACCAATACGCTGCGGTTATCACTAGATTTCTCTCCCTACTTATAGGCTGGTATGATCAATGATGTAGACTAGTCTGAAACCACTATCTCTGATTCCCATACAATACTCCCCTTATCACTTCAGTTAGTGATTTCCTGCCTCCATCCTCGAAAACCTCTTGTGGCAAACCATCAGGTCCTACTGCTTTTCATCATTTCAGATTCGATACAGCTTTCTCAACTTCAAGGAAAGTTGGAGGACCAACATATACGTCCTATTCAGGTTCAGGTTAGATGTTTGGCAACTGAAGCGTTGCTGAGGGCCATTTCAACTGTGCTTCTAAGTGTTCTGCCCAACGTTATAGCCGCGTGTCCTGGGAGGTTGTCGGCGTCCCATCCTTTTTGGTGATAGTCTCACTCACCATCCACTTTTTCTTGCGGGTATCCGTAATAAACCTAAATAGTTGCTGTTACTCAACGCTGATACCTTCTCCATCTCTTGCTTTCGCAGCAGTACAATTTCGCTCTCAGACCCCCATAATATTGTAGTCATATACGCTGCAACGGTAACTCCATTTCGTCTTGCCACTATTCAACAGACCTTTCTAGGAGAGAAGACTTGCACTAACGTATATGTGAACTGTCGTTAAAGCATGTTTTCTTACACCCTGATATTTACTTCCATGCTTAGGTTTTAAGTTAGTGTGACCTCCATTTTGTTTCTGAAAATACTTTGTATTTTTTTACAGACTGTTCTCCTTGTACGATACAACAACGTTTTACTGTGCGCTGGCTTTTAGGTGATTGCCACTTGTTCAAGTCAACACCTTTCATATAGCTGTATTGAGTTCCACTAGGATTTGAATGGTCAAGGACCGACTTCCCGAGCTTGAAGCTGTAATTCCTACCACTTTTACTGACGAATGCTTATATTATTAGCGTATAAAGAGTAAGAATGATAAGCAAACTAAAAAGAATGAAGATTGTGATTTCTCTGCAATCACCACTGATCTTTTCAATCAGGTAAATTTTGTCTATTTGTCTAACTGTTAACAGGTGGATGAATTGCACAATGATATTGAAAGCTTGGAACATGATATTAACACAATCGATAGGCTACAAAAGGACATACTAGCTATTCCTCAACAAGATTCAAGTAACTTTGTTCACCTGTTTGTACTGGGTTCTAGAATTGGACAGTCAGCTTAAAGAGGTTACCAATTCTATCAGGGAAAGAGCACACAAGATTCGAAGTTCTTTAAAAGGTAGTCACCATTACATTGTCCATCAAAACTTATTAATTTCAGAATTGGAACTGCAAGAAGATGATAAACTATTGTCGGGAATGTCTGGTAAATGTCGTCTAAAGTCCTCTCAGGTTTTAGTTTTGGGATATCTTATGCTTTTGCTTTAGCATGCTGCAATTTCTCGACAGTTTGTTCACATTATGAACAGGTACAGTCTAATGCAAGTTGAATATCGAGACAAGTGTAAAGCTCGAATCCGAACTAAACTCAATGTTGGTAAATCTTACAGTCATTTTCCGCAATATGATTCACTTTTTTTGCAGCTAAAGTCACATTTTCCGAAGATGAAGTTGAAAAGATGTTGGAGAATAATCATCCGGGGATTTTTACACAAGCTGTAAGCGCCATGTTTTTTGTGATACCATGTGGTTATGCCAATATATGGTAATACTGTTTTACTGTGTGATATATAGTACAAAAGGACTATAGTAGATACATTCGAACGGAACGCAGTCAGCCACCTTGCGCACATTTGTGCAGTAGGCAGTGAGCCATACCTGTCATGTGAGGGCTGGTGATACTAACCAGCTGCCCGAACCTTGGTAGATAGGGCGGGATTCAAACCCGTGACCCAGTGGTTGATAGTCATCTCCCCAAGCCACTCAGCAACATTTCTACCAAGTTTGTGTGCATCCGATCAATAGCTCCTAAATTTATGTGTTCGTAATTGTACATATAGTATTATCTTAGTCGATCCAAACTTGCTAAAAACTTTTTTTAACGTGCCATGCCATTGGTTAGCTGTAAAATCGACAGTTACTACCGTCCTAATGTTAAGGCTTCAAGATGGATATACTGAAGTTCTAATGATAAGGCGCGATCTTTCGAGTTAACAAAGTGGGAAATAAAGTGAACGTCAACTGATGACTTCGGATGATAGTCACACTATATCGTGAATTGACAGATGTAGGAAACTATGGATCATTGGATTCCGACTGTGGGTGAATGGTAACGCGCTTGCAACAAGACCCAAAGACCCTGACTTCGAATACTGGCGGAGTGGTGGGTGCGCACTGTCGAGGAACCCTCTGCTAGGATGAATGAGTTGTTCAATGCTCCTGGGTTTTCAATAGTTCTCCAGCATACATCGATTCGTGATGAATGCTAACGTGTAGTTTAAATAATTTGCTCTTCTTTGGAAAATGTTCTACTTAGCTCTGTCTGTCTGCAGCTGTAGATTACCATTAAAAACATAGTTATTTTGCATTAAAGTAATAAAAAAATTTTCTATCTTGACCTACTATTAGGTCTACACTTTTTTTGTGTACCCAACTATTAACATGAAAATTCCGCTATTATTATTAATATTATTATTTGTTCCTAGTGGAACATAGGGATTCAGTAGCATGTCTCCATTGCACCCTGTTCTCTTCAGTCTTTGGAACCTGGCTCCATGACTGCCTAAAAGTTTTCACTTATTCCTCACATGGTCTCATCCATGTCACCCTCGTCTTGGACGTCCAACTCGTCGTTCCCCCTTAGGATTCCACTCGACGGCCTGGCCTAGTCTAGCGCGTGATGTCCCCAATCGACCTTCCCAGTGTATGCCCAATCCATCTCCATTTTCTTCTGCATATTTGTTGGGCTATGGGTTGTTGGTTGATTCGTTGTCAGCCACAGTTCCTTCTTGATTGTTCTCATCATTCTGGCCATCTGATCTTTAGTATCGAGCCAGCGTAGACAGCTGTTTATGTGATGTATGTCTGTGGTTTTTTGGAAGTGCTTTTCGTGACACGCCAAGTTTCTGAACCATATAGCAGCACTGACTTGACATTGGTGTTGAAAATCCGGATGTTGTTCACACTTTATGCTAAGTGGAGTGCAGTAGATCCCCACACTGATTATTTCAGATCAATGAAGGCATCTGTTGCTGTCTTCCCGATCCTGGGTGCTTTGACATCCTCCTCTGTGCCACCGCTGCCTGTAGTTGAAACGATGCTGCCTAGGTAGGTAGGTAAGTGGAAGCGACTATTTCCTTTAAGTTTCTCCCGTTCATGGTGATTGATGCTTGTTGTTGTTGGTTGGGTATCTTCATCACCTTTGTCTTCTCTACATTCACTTGAAGTCCTTAAAGTCTCCTCAAAGTCAATGAAGTTGAGGTAGAGAGTTGACTGCCATTCTAAGCTCTGTTTATGATGATGCGTGACGTTGCGATTTGATCCGCACATGATTTGTTCTTCCTGAAGCCAGCCAGCCAGCTTGTTCCGTTCGTAATTTTGAATCCAGCGCATCTATCAATCTCTCCTTAGAATGATGCGGCTTAATAATTTGCTCGGGGTGGACAGCAGAATGACTCCTCGCCAATTCTTGCAAAGACTTTGGTCTTCCTTCTTCGGGAGTTTGACGAGGTAGCCCTTCTTCCAATCAACAAGCAGGTACCTTTCCTTCCTCCCTTCCAAACCTTCTGCAATAGTGGTGTGAGCATGTCTGCTGTTGTCTCTGCATCTGTTTTTAGTGCTTCTGGTGGAATTCCATCTGATACTGCTGCTTTCCTGGCTTTCAGTGACTTTATGGCGTTCAGGACTTCTGCTTTTGTTGGGGGGGCTTGTGTTCGCTGGTAGTTCTGCAGTTGCTGGTGGTATTTCCAGATAACTTGCAGGTGGTTGTCGATTCAGGAGCTTTTTGAAATGGTCAGCCCATTGTCTCCTTTGCTTCTCCTCTTTGGTAACTAGGTTTCCTTCACTGTCTTTCATTGGTTTCGTTTGCGTTGATCTCTTCCCAGATAGTAACCTGGTTATTTGATACAATGTTGTCAGGTCTCTCTTATCTGCAGCATGTTCTGCTTCACTTGCCAATGTGTCGTGGAAGTGTCTTTTGTCATTCCACGCACTCTTCTTCACTTCTTTGTCCAGTGTAGTGTTTTATAGGTTGTATGCAGTTCCTCTTTTCGTTGTTCATTCCTGCAGTGCACTGGTGTATTTTCTGCTTCACCATCTTCCTCTCCTCTATCAGCTTGCATGTGGCGATCTATCGATATCCATTCCTTGTCTTGTTTTTTCTTCCTTCCTAATACGGTTATGCAGGTTTCTTTCCACATCTCTCCAAGAATCCTAGTGTTCTTCCACGCAGGTTTCCTCGGGGATACTGCTTAATGTCTCTCATTTCTTCCTGATGACTGGCTGACTTGGAGATGTCCTTTGAAGTTTCGTCCTTCAGTTTCTGTTCTGGATGTTCAACTTGAACTGTGTTCTAACGTCACCAACCTCTTTGAGGGCTTTCAACTTGATTTCGAAGGTAGGTTCCTTGCACTAGATAATGAGTGGTGTGAACCCGTCTACATCTACTCCCCTTCTTGTTCTCATCTTGTGTCCAGCAGGCTTCGTCTCCACTTTCTTCACATTGAGATGAAGTCGATCTGATTTTTAGTGTGTCTGGTGAAATCCATGTCGTTTTGTGAATGTCCTTGTGTTTGTACACACTGTCTGCAATCAGCAAATCGTTGAATGGGTAAAAGTCTACAAACAGTTCTCCCTTCTCTTTCCTTTCACTGAGTGCTTCTCGACCCATGATGAGTACTCTTTCCATGTTGTCTGCTCCGAGTTTGGCATTCATGTCACCCATTGGAATGAATTTCGCTGTCGTCGTCTGTGGTTGGGTCTTGTCCATTACTGATTTCAGTTGTCTGTAGAATTCCTTCTTCTCTTGGTCTGCATTATTTGTAGGCGCGTGGTGTAGCACTTTATGATTGTGACTTTCCTTCCTTTTGACTTGAATCTTGCTGTCATGATCGCGGAGGAGATTGATTCCCACTGCATGAGAGCCTTCGATGCTCTAGAAGGGGACATCATGATAGCCACTTCAAAACTCTATGCGCTTGTGTTTGTTGTCTGGGTGGCAGTATCGGAGTAGATTATTAACTCTAGTTGACAGTTTGGAGAGTCCACTTCCATTCCATCTGCTTTCGTATATTCCAAGCACTTCAATGTGATACCTTCTCATCTCGTTTGCAATCTGGGCTTCCTTGCTAGATTCAAACATGGTGCTGATATTCCCTGTCCCCACGTTTACTTTCCCTTTCATCGAGAGAAGAGAAGACACGTCGGCCAATTGGCTCGTCGAAGGCAGGCTTTCACCAACCGGCGTCATTTCGTCTCCCCGATTCCAGCGTGGAATAAGTTTATTTTGATGTTTTATATTTGCTTTTTGCTTTGAAGTTTCTTTAGCGGTTGGATTGGTTTTACTGGGTATGGTTGCTAGCCGTATACCCAACCTTCCCTCTTTATCCGGGTTAGGACCGACTAGTAACTAGTGAACTAGTTAACAAGGCGAGGTTCGATATTGGATTTATTAAACCTCTTCTGGTAATATGTACATGCGCATGTAGGTTGATATGTACATCTTTTTATTGGGACATTTTTTGAGTAATTTGGTCACAAAATATTTTAAACTAACATTGTTCCTCAGCCAGTCAGTTAGTTAAAGGCAATCTACTTGAAGCTTTGAACTAAGGTTTCATGCTTGTTGGCGCTCGTCCGCAAGGTGTATCTGCTAGCTCGAAGGAACTGATGTCCTCTCTGAGATTTTCACCCACGTCACAGAGTGTTGCAGTCAGTGACGTTACCACTGAGCTATTTAAACAGATATTCATCTTCTGTAAGACCGGACAACCAGTTTCATGTTGCCTAGTCCTCAGTTCACACAGAATTTAATCGATCATTTGCAATGTGACCACTAAGCTAGGAGGCTCAGCATCGTGGTGCACTTTAATAGATTTCAGTTGGTTGATCGATAGAATTCGATTAGCACTCAGGACTAGAAAATATGAAATTAATTGCTTTCCAGTGACCTGTCAATACATCTTTGTATTGTTCCTTATGTTTTTACTGGCGAAGTGTTTGGCATACATCCTTTCTATGGATTAAGATCTCGTCTGACAGGTTATTCACTTAACCTTCAGGTATGGAATCGTAAGCTTTTACTGTAGTCTGTTCACGCTTCCAAATTGTCTTGATATGACGAAGGTTGAATAGAATTCACCCCTAGAGATTTTCTCATAGGGTTATATATTTTTAGTATGCGCCAGAGCCATCTTAATTGTTTTGCTCGCATGGCAAAAATGTTTTCTCAAAAATGAAGGAGCGAAATTGAATATCACCGGATTATTTTATTTGTAAGGTCTACCTAGTGGATTTGGAAAACCCTGAATCTGAACTTATGGTGTACATGAACTGCAGGACCCGAAAGAAATGAGTCCTGCATGGTTGTTCCACTATTTTGTGAGTGCGACTTCAGATCACAGCTATGGGCAGTGGTCTCGAAAAGCCTCCTGCTTCTCTTCGGGCCCATGTAGTATCTCAACCTCAACTGAGCCATAAAAGAGTAACCAACAGTGTTTTTTTAATCCCTAATCTGTCACGCTTAATATCTGAGTCAGATTAACGCATGGAAATCCTAAGTTATTGCATTAGATTATTTTTATTGGTCTATGAAATTGTCGTACATCTCAAAGTAAAATGTATTTATAAAACTTTTGGCCGAACATTTTGTTGATTCCAAAACTTTCCTCCGGATACAGATAATGGCAGAAACAGAAGCTGCAAAGCGTTCATTATCAGATATAGAAGCTCGACATGCAGATATAATTCGGTTAGAGAAAAGCATCCAAGAAATGAGAGAGTTATTCTTTAATGTGGCGCTTCTTGTGGATCAACAGGTAATCTTTTCGAATTTTTGGACACCGTATTATTTATTTGTTTAGTTGCAACTAGCTCGACGTGTTATGTAGTCTCTGATCAAACACTTGACTAGAAAATCCTGTTTTGTATTAGTTCTACTTATTCTTTGAATGCGCTGTTTATTGTATCATAGAAAGTATAGTGAAAAATTTCATTTTATTCACTCATTAGCTGCCACCTTGACGAGGTGGTCAGGCTTGCATATCACAATGACCCAACGAGCTGCAACCGGTGGAACGCTTGTTCTCTAAACGTCCTGCTATGCCAGAAAGGCTTTATAAATAGTTATAAGATGAAAACCTGTTAGGTTTGTGGTGTAAATTGGTACATTATGACAGGAGTCCGAGAATGAAGTCGTACAGCTGGGTACACGGAAGTTTGACAGCAGTAGGGTATTCTCCTTAGATGATCAGCAGTGCTACGTTGATGCTGTTTTCCCTACGGGAAAGGGGGATTAGAAAAGGTTGACCTCGAAAATACCACACTCCCACTACTTCTTCCTATACCGATGCCGGCGACGTGGGTTCATAGTCGGATATGAATGCAATGAACCAAAATCTCAAACTTGCAAAAAGGCTGTGTGTAACTAGCTTCAAGGAGACTTCCTTTGTGCTCTGTGGTCACTCACAAGCCCTTCTTTTTCAGATACCTCAAGAAGGACTAACCTTGCACGTTATAGGCACCCGAAAAGTGTCAACTACCCTCACAATTATGCCAGCACTTAAGTTCCCTCAGATCATCGTCCACCCTCAGCATTCTATTTTTCTATTCTTTCTTTCCATCACTCGACTAGTAATCCTATGTCATCTTTAATTTTTTCCAGCTCTTTGGCTCTCGATGACTATCTGAGTTCGTGGGACAGCATCTTCATTTTTCTGACACCTCGCACCAAATTACAAATTGGAGGTTTCAACTTCTACACCCTTCGTCAAGTAAGCCAACGAGCTTCACTAGACAAAACTCTAGCAGCTTGAGGCATGGATGTGTGCTGTGTTCACGAGACACGCATACAGAACCCAAGTACATTTATTAGCTTAACCTCATCCGGCCATTATGATGAATCCACAACAATCATCCTTCCAGTTTCTGGAGTTTCGATGTCCAGTTATCACGATCTTGCAGGTTTAAGTGTAGCATTGAGCACTAAGACAGAAGGTTCCTTACTCGACTGGATCCCAGTTAATAGTCGCCTGTGCAGTGTTTGACTGAATGGCACAATAAGGACTATAAAGATTAGTGAAACTCGCTGTTGACTATTTGTTATCTCTACTCACTCACCTACTAACTGAAGTTCGGATAATCATCATCATCACTATCAACATAGGACCAGGTATTACTGCTTGACGGTTCCAGCTGCCACAGCTCATATCAGTACATCAAGTAAAAAGAAAGTGAAGTGCAAGATGAAGATAAGAAAATCCAGTCAGAAGAAATATAAAGTACGAAAAGAGAGAAAGGAAGAATGAGAAAGTGGTGAGATTCGGTATAGCGTAAAGATAAGGAAATTTGTACATGTATGTGCGACACTGACATCGATTCTGAGCCACATCACCTAGAGTTTGCAACCACTGGTTCTCTTGTTCCGCGGACCCTAACCGGCTAGTCTTCATCGCACCATATGGCTCAAAGGAACAGTCAAACACTTCATACATTGATGCCATGTTTTAGACTTGCCACCTCAGGCCTTTTTTCAGCCTGGTCCTACTTCAGCCAACATTGTGTGACGAGGCGGTCAGCGACTAGGCATACGTAGCACGTGCTCCAACAATCTCAGTCGATGAAGGTTCATAACCTCGTCAACTGGTTTACCTCTGCTCCCTAAAACTCTACTCCTGACTTCTGCGTCACTCACGTGGTGACACCACGGAACACGGCCTATACTAAAAAGACAACGGTGGTCAAACACCTGAAGCCAGCCTTCTCATATCTTCCACTTTCAATGGCCATGTTTCACAGCCATACAGTAGAAGAGAGCGGATTGCTGTCCAGTATACGCGACCCTTAGTCGACAATAGGATATCACGGCGGCCCCACAGTTGGCATAAGTTGGCGAAAGCAAATCGAGCCTTTTGTATCCGTGACGAGATTTCATCGGCCACTGAGCACCAGGGCAGGGCTGATCCTACTTCACAGGTAAGTGAAGTGGTTAGCACACTTAGTCACTACACTGTCTATTGTTAACATTGACACCGTTGAAGACCAATTGTGGAGCAACAATTGGCATTTGGGTGATGAGAAACACATCCTAAACACTCTCAGACTGCTACTCAAGGTGTTCAGAAGACTCTGCATCTTGTTAGCGTCTTCACCCAACAGGACTATGTCATCTGCATATATTCTAGGTCAAACGAAAATTCTCCCACAATTATTTCAACCTTTGTGTAGTCAGTCAGGTGACAAGAGGGAGACCTCCATAAGAATATCTATGATAAAATTGGATAAGAATGGAGACAGTGGCACCCCGACAGACACTACTCGATGACCATTGCTCCCTGGGCATCTCACGATAGGCTCTAACACGCCCACAAGTGTTCGAGTAGAGAGCCTTCAATAAGGTGGTGATATACTTACTCGGCACGCCTTTCAATGAGATACACTGCCATAAGACTTCTCGATCAATGCAGTCGAATGCCGCCGTCCTCAGGTCGAGAAATACAGCCAGTGTCGGGCGTCGGTAGCGTGTCTGTCTTCCAGGACCTAACAGAGTGTGAATATTTTGTCGATAGACTCACAGCCGGGTCTAAATCATGCCTGGTTTTCTCGGGCTTGCTGTTCCTGAGCTCCACTCAGGCGTCGAAGAATTATAGAACCTAGGATCTTGGACACTTTATTCGTCAGGCTGATTCCTCTGTGGTTATCATAAGAGGACTTCTCGCTTTTTTGAAGACTGGGATAATTATTGATTTAGACCAGTCAGAGGGGATCGTATTGGATTCCCATATACTGGTTAACAGTCCCATTACCCTAACTAAGAGCACCTTACGATCATCCTTGTATACCTCAGGAGTTAGTCCGTCTGGTCCTGCCACCCTTCCTCGTTTCAGGTTACCTACAATTTTCTCAACTTCTAGTGTTGAGGGGGCCTATCTCGACGTTGCATTCAGAATCCGACTGGATAGCAGACAACGTAATGGTGGGTGGAGGTCAGTTAAACTGTTAATCGAAGTGTTCTACCCATCGTTCCAGTCGTCTCCCCTGCGAGTGAATCGCATATCCCTCCTTTTCTGCTATGGCATCACTAACTGTTGTTGACCCTTTCCCCAGTCTCCTTAATAAGTCTAAATAACTGTCTACTGTTACCAATCGCCACTGCCTTTTCCATCTCTTTAGCCTTCGATGTCCATCACTGTTCTCGGTCGTTCGTTAGGCTTTTTTCTCAATGGTTTTTTGAGTTGCGCTCACTCTTCATTGTACTCAGAGCCGGTAGGGATGCGTTCACGTGCATCCATTAGTTCGGAAGGAGCTGCTGATATCCACTGGCTCTTTTTAGCCACTATTTTGGAGTCGGCTACAGTCTTCAGCATGCTTTTGCAGCAGACTGGAGATGGCATCAAGCTTCTTCTTCGTGAGCACAGTCTTCTGTTACGATAGCTGCCTAGCCAAATTCTCACTGAACACAGCTTTGGTGTTTTCGTTGTCCAGCAGTACTCGTGGTGGTTTTGTTGACAAATTTTTCTTCCGTCCATTGGGCGCAGGCCTTTACGCGCTCGGACTAACGCGTGGTGGCTATCCAAACACGTACTCCAGAAAGAGTGGCAGTCTTCCACCGATCCACTCACCGATGACTAATACTAATGTGGTGTATCTGTGTCCATCGCTGAGTTGAGGTGAGAGTGTCTTTCTTCATGTCTGAAATTTGTGCTAGCTAAAAGTAGGCGGTTATCTGAGCATAGTTGCTGCAGGCAGTCATCGTTATCTGTACGTTCAGCTGGGATTCCGAAAGTGCCACCTAAGTGCCTTTCTGTCTTACTCAGTCTACCCACCTATGAGTGGAAATCACCTGCAACAACCACCAAGTCCGAACGTTTGGCTTTCGAGATGAGGCTAGACAGTTTTCGGTAGAACTCGTCCTTCACTTCATCCCAGCTGCAGTCAGTGGGTGCGTAAGCACAGATTACAAAGAGACAACGGTGAGTCTCACTATTCCTTTTAGTTCTCAGTGTGCCCTTCAGTCGGATATCGCAGAGGTGACTATCAACTGAGATACAGTCTAGTAGTGAGTTTTCTGCCCTAGTGCTAAATGCTATGCCTACACCTGCAAGACCACGAGAGCTAGCTATCGAATCTCCAGAGACTCGAAGGGTGAATTTTGCAGATTCACCAGATTGGGGGGGAGGGGCCAGGTAAGTAACCACACTTGGGTCCTGTATGCGTGTCTCACAAACACAGCACACATCCATGGCCCGAGTTGCTAGAGTCTTTGCCAACGAAGCCTGTTGACCAATTTGAAGGAGGGTGTGGACATTGAAGGCTCCAATATGTAATTTGGAGCATGGTTTAAGGAGACCAGTGATGCTGTTTTGTGAACTCAGATCGTTGTCAAAGGCTGCAGAGGTAAGAGAAGTTGAAGATGATGTAGCATCGTTAGTTGAGAGATGTGAAGGAAGATTAGAAGGTAATGATGGGGGAGGTGGATAGTAAGCAGTCTGAGGAAACTCGAGTGCTGACAGAGTTGTGAGGGTGGTTGACACTTCACAGCTGCCCATACCGTGGAAGGCTATTTTTTCTTAGGGTGCCTGAAAGAGATTTGTGTGACCGCAGAGCCCATGGAACATCTACTTGAGGTCTGTCACACTCAGCTGCTTGAGTATGATCATTTTGAACTTTTGTATTTTTGGGGCGGGTTGGTCGAAAGGAAACGACAAGTGAACCAACACCACCGTCCCGGCAGACCGTAGGGCATGGTGGAGTGTGTTATTTTTGGGGCCGACCTTTTCTCACCATCCCCCCCCTTCCATTGACAATGCAACATCATCATGGCACTGCTGGTCATCTAAGGGAAACACCTTACTGCTGTCACACCACATCCAGCTAGCAGCAGTACGACTTCTCCCTCAGACCCCCATCATAGTGTAGCAATTTACACTATGACGGTAACTGCTTTTTGTCTAACCACTATTCAACAGACGTTTCTGGTATGGTAGGACCTCGAGGGAACAAGCGTTCCACCAGCATAGTTCGTTGGGTCATTGTGATATGCAAGCCCGACCACCACGTGAAGGTAGCAGCTATCGGTCGGGGAAGTTCGGATAAAGTGAAGAATGAACTTTACTGAGAACTGTCTAACTCCCTACTGAAAGCCAAGGGCTCAATGGTGTTAGTTGTTGCAAGTGATTTCAATGCACAAGTGGGCAGGCCAAGTCAGGCAGAAAGCCACTTAGGTAGGTGGCACTTTCAGAATGCTATCTAAACGAACAGATAGCAGTGATCGCTTACTGCAGCTGTGCTCGGATAACCATTTATTTCTAGCCAGCACAAACTTCAGACATAAAGAGAGGCGTTGTCTGTTGTGGCGTTCATCAACCCTAACTCAGCAGTGAAAAGAGGTTGACCGCAGTACTATTAATCACCGCTGGAAAGGGTCAGTGGGAGACTGCCTCTCCACAGTTGTCGGAACTGATCAATGTCACTCATCCAGAAGAAGCTTGGTGGCATCTCCACTCTGCATTGAAGACCGTAGTTGACTCTTAAAGAGTGATTCAAAAGAGCCAGTGGATCTTAGCAGCCTCTTATAAACTAATGGATGCGCGCGAACTCATCTTGGTCATCTCCAAGGACAATGAGGAGCGAGTGCAACTCAGTTGTGAACTGACATAAAGCCTATGCAATGATCGCGAACAGTGGTGGGCAGCAAAGGCTAGAGATAGAAAATGCAGGAGTGATAAGTAACTGTAAACTACTATTTAAACTTATTAAGGAAACTGATTAGGGAGACTATAGCGTTGAAGGATGTATGTGTGTGTGGTTCGCTTGTGAGAGAGACAACTGGGAATAACCTGAAAAGAGGAGGAGCAGCATGACCAGACAGACTCGTTCCTGAGGTATATAAAGACGATAGTTGAGGGTTTTTAGTCAAGTTAACTGGAGAGTTAAGTGATATATCGGAATCAGACATGATCCCCTTTGACTGTTTGTAGTCACTGTTTGTCCCAGTCTTCAAAAAAGGCGAGAAATACTCCTATGATAACCACAGAGGAGTCAGAGGTTCTAGGTTCTATAATCATTAGACGTCTGAGTGAAGCTCAGGAACAGCGAACATGAGAAAACCAGGTTCAAGCTGTAAAAAGGTCAGGGACAGACGGAGTGGAACACGTCATCACTCCATGAAGTTCCTAACTGAACCGTCTGGGTTCATATGGCAACGAAAACCAGTGGTTGGAGACTCTAGATGATATGGCTGAGAATCGATGTCAGTGGCATAGATGTATCCATATGTTATCGTCTTCTTAATTGCTATAGTGAATTTAGCAGTTTATCATCCCTCCTTCCTTTTTTTGCTGCTTTTGATCGATTCATCTTTAATCTTGTTGCTTTGTTACTTGGTGTGTTGATGGGATTTGCGGCAAATTGGACTGTTACACAGTAATGCCTGCTCCTATTTTGATGTTGATGATGAAATCACAGTAAGGTACTCCTTGCTTAATCATTAAGGGGTGAGAAAATGTAAGAAATGTAGGTAAGTGGAATTCAGGACAGAATATGTAGGGTACGTATTCGATTTGTCATAATTAATGAAGCGTAAATTAAGGAAAAGAAAACAAAAAGTGACAATGTTGTTAACAGTGATAGTAGAGGTTTTTTTTTTAAATTTGTGAAAACGAGTTCGGATGAAAACTGAAGACAATGGAATGATATTAAAGCGCCTACTACTTATCAGTAAATTTCATATAGAGATGCCCCACTGCTATGGATATTCAGTGACAGCATCCAGTTTCAAAACGCTGGGTTTGATTGTCTGTTTATGTTCACTCCAGCGAAAAATAATTCCTCACACGCTCCCAACCAGGTTTCAGAGATAATAAAAATCTGTATCACATCTGGTCATACTGATGCGTCTAGGTTGTACATCAACCAGCATTAAGTGTCATTATAGGCGGCTATCTGAGGTAGACAATACATATCCCAGGCACTTCGATACAGGTTGCTACTGTCGTCAAGTGATTTCGCCGCTTCCCTCATCACTCAGTATCTCAGCAGTGCTTACTCGGTGGTATTTCAAACTATAAGTATGTATTGTGCGTCATCTTTGGTTGCATACACTTAGTTTTTATGTTCTTCACCCTCTATGGTGATGTCTCTCAATCTTGAATAGGCAGAGCGTTGGTTCTCGCTTAGTAAACTCATAAATTGATGGGTATCATAGTTTAGTTTAGGCGTGGTTAGTTGAGCTTTATGTAATTGTACCAAGTTATCATCTATTGCCAGAGTATCAAGATCGGATCACTTGTGTATATTACTTCATTTGAACCGTCTCTGAATGAAATTTGTCCATGGTAGTTCGAAAGTAGATAGGTTTGAACTTAACCGTTGATTCGATAAAAAATAAAGCTCCCTATAATTTTCCATAATCAAATTCTTTCATCTAAAACCCTCTAATAAACTTTCACAGGTGTTTGTTTCAGCATGGAATTGACAGTACAGTGAAAGGTTTGTGAAGTGTCCGCTTCAACAAAAAACAGCTTCTCATGACTTTTCAATTCATAGAAATAACTTCTGTTTTCAGTTTAGCAAAGCATCATTAAGCATTCTTCTGTGCTATGATATACGAAAAGATAATATATAGTTGTTAGACACTTTCAAGTTTTAGATAGCATATTAACTCAGATAATTCTTCTAGGGGGTTGAGGATGGGGGTTATTTTCCTATACAGTGGACCGATTAAAAATTGATACCCTCAGTTACATATGAACTCATATACATTATTCAGTTTATCATAACTCTGATCATAGTGTAAAACTTCCAGATAAGACTGTAGAAATACAAGTCGCTATCATTTAATGTTTTCACAAAATCCTTTACAATGTCTAGACACAGATGGTCATAAGAGTATTTTTAAGACTTTAGATGAAATATGGTATTGATGCTTGATGGAACCTTTCGTCTATATCTACTACATTAGTAGAAATACTATGCAAAGTTTATAGTCCGATATTCTTCCTTAAATAGTTGGTTCGGCTATCTATGTTTTGTTAAGGAAGGTGAGATATTTTTTTCCCCATTCTTTTGATTATTTGTGTAAATGCCAAGGAATTGTGATTTTTGGGAAAACCATATATGCTGATTTAATCACTTTTGAAGATAATACTGAAGTTACTTATGTTCACACCACTACTGTTTATATCTATACAAATTAGTAGTTGCAATACTGTTTCACATAAGGATTTATGTAGATTAAAGCGTTTTCTCCGGTTTATTACTAAGCAAATAGTGTTTTTCATATGACTGCTTGAGTGAGCTCTTTGATTTAAGATAGTCTCAGGGATGAAAACATTTGGGACTGTTTACCAAGTGATTGCAAGGATTCACACTACTAACTGACTAATCTCAACAACTGTGTGAATGTTTTTACTGTAGGTAATGAGCTACACCTATTGTTCGGGGGCTAATGACACTATCTAATCGCCCACAAATCTCCTCGGTGTGGTATTGTGTGAAATGGTGGGGAATATTTGTAGCTCAGGTGGATGGTCTTGATTGTATTGTATTGTCTCAGCTGGTTTGTTTAATCGTGGAGCTTTCATCGTCCTTCTAGATGACATCAGCTGCAGCACTAACTTCAGTATGAATTGAGCTGTCATTATCTCTCCGTTAGTGAGTGATTTAGTAGCTTGCCCTGACGAAGTGGTTTATGATTGGTTGTTTTCTTTGATTGATGTGTCATCGACTGACTGTATAGACTTTCCTGTTGACTGTTCCTCTGCTTCACCTCTGACCTTTCTGTCGTTTGTCATTTTTCTTATTGGTTGATAGATTGGGTCTATGTCTATACATCTATTGATTGTTGTCTGACTGGTCGGAATGCCAAGCTTCTAGGAATTCTCTGATGATATTCTTTGTGTCTCCTCTCTGCATTAAAGATTTCTACATTGTCTAAATTGAATTCATGGCCATAGTTGTTATCCACGTGCATTGAAATGAATGACGAAATGTCGTAGCGTTTAATAGCCAATTGGTGTTCATGTAGACGAAGGCGAAGAGGAAGACCACTTTGTCTAATATAGTGTTGACTACAGTTATTCCAGTTGATTTTGTAAATTATATTCGGTTTGTCTTCTTTGGTTGTTGCATCCTTTGGTGTGTTGTAGTGTGTGAATCAACGACTCAGTCAACAACACTAAGCCACAGCTCCACGAGACTTAACATACTTGATATATACTGTTGTACACTGTGTTGTGATTTTGCGTGTATAGGGATATAGAAATATTTTTATCTAACTGAATGTCATTTCAAAGCAGTTTTGTACTAAATTCTACTTTCTACTTGGTCATTACTCAGTATCCATCCATCCATCCAGATCAACCTAGGACCAGGCATTACTGCGTAACACTCCGAGTTGCCACACCTCATATCACTACATCAAATAAAAACTCAGTGAGGTGCAAGATGAAGATAAGAAAATTCATTCAAGAGAAATATAAAGTACGAAAAGAGAGAAAGGAAGAATGAGAAAGTGGTGACATTCAGTATAGCGTCGTTAAGACGATGATAATGTGTGTGGGGATACATCTGACATCGGTTCTCAGCCATCCGATCACCTACAGTCATTCTCCAACCACTGGTTCCTATTCAGTATGAAAAGATTTCGTATATTTCCATAAGTATTAATAATAGTTTGTTTGAAAGATGCTTTACTTACCTATCCTATTTATCTATTTATTCTACATATATCAGGGGGATTTAATTGATCAAGTTGAGTACAATTTGAGTAAAGCAACTGACTGTGTTGTAAATTCAAAGCGTACACTTTCATCCGCTGTGATCAGAAGTAGAAAAAATCGTCGGGTAAGTGAATTTTTTCCTGTTTTTTTTTAACCAATAAATTTTGTTGATACTATCACATAAAACTGTCACGAAGGTATTATTGTAAAGTTTTGTTGTATGTATTGAAGAGAGGTTGTAAATAAGAGTAGTCATATAGTCATTATTTAGTTGTAATTTTTCTCATTTCTATGATTGTAATTGAAATGTCTGTTGAGCAACTGTCTTACGTCGCTCGGAATTACCACGTATATATTCAGGTAATCGGTGTTAAACTTTTCCTGAGCGCATACTTAGTATAGTTATTATATCCCATCCGACCTTCGGATCGGTAACTACTATCTTGTAGTAATGGTTGGGCTTGTATATTGCGACGATTCAGGGAGCTACACTAACAAACGGTAGTTTCCTCAAATTCCTATCATGGCACTAAGACCTGTTGGATAGTAGTAAGATGAAAAGTAGTTACAGTTGTAGTATGAACTGTTACACTATGATGGGGTTCAAGGGCAAACGTGTACCGCTGGCTGTGCCACACTGATACTGCCTTACCTTCTCTATAAAAAGGGGCTGTTTAAAAAAGTCGACCCTAAAAATAACACTCTCCTCCCTGCCCTGCCATTTTTCGGCGCCGGTAGTATGGGTTTTCTCTATCCGGTTTAAAACAATCAAATCTCACACCAACAATCAATCCTGTGTCTGTCATTATACAAGCATTTCCAGCATTTCGTTGCTTGAAAGTATCAAGCAATTACAGGTTTTTGACTACAGGTGTCTTTACAGCATTACTTGCGTTTGATGGTATCACCAGGCGAAGGATTCTAGGGAAGGAAGGTGATTCAGTCCATAGTGGAGCGAAATTTTACTGACTGAGGTGGCTTGAACATGCACTACACATTGCCATGTCACGACCTACTTCAACATTCAGTGCTAGCAGAAGTTGGATTAAGTTGGGAGAGGAGGGTTCAAGGTGGCCAAATCAAGAAATGACATCAGTGCTTGAAGTCCGTGACGTTTGGTCTTAGCTATGTAGGGAGTTGTAGACTAGCTGGCTCAGGTCTCTAAGGTGGTTGGGATCAATGGTTAAGGACTCTTGGTGAAGTAACTGGAAATCGGTCTTCTAAGGCTTGTGTGTTTTGACTAACCATCATTTTTAAATTCCATCTCCTCCCATACTCCTTTATGTACTTTGTTATCGGTTTAATTTTTTATCCACTTGTTCTTTTCATACAACTATGAAGTGTGGCGGTTTGAACGGATGCAATTTTGTGTGCATTGTTCTGAAAACAATGCACATGCCAATCGCCTCGTTACACAATGTTCTTCGAAGTAGGTTGAGGCTGGAAAAAGGCCCACAGTGGCCAGACTAAAACATGGCATCAATGTATGAAGTCTCTGACTGTTGGTTTGAGCCATGTGGGGCGATGTAGACTAGGTGGTTGGGGCCGGCGGGACAAGAGGAACCAATGGCTGGAGACTGACTGTAGGTGATCGGATGGCTGAGAACCGATGTCAGATGTATCCCCACACACATTATCATCATCTTAACGACGCTATACTGAATGTCACCACTTTCTCATTCTTCCTTTCTCTCTTTTCGTACTTTATATTTCTTTTGAATGAATTTTCTTATCTTCATCTTGCACCTCACTGCGTTTTTACTTGATGTATTGATATGAGGTGTGGCAACTCGGAGTGTTACGCAGTAATGCCTGGTCCTAGGTTGATCTGGATGGATGGATGGATGTAGTGAAGCTCTACTATCAATATCTTTCTTACTTATAATTTCATTGGCTTAATTACCCTTTTCTAAGTTTTTATATGAATTATTCAGTAAGTTCATGTGCATTCAGGTTGTTTAAAATATATAGCGCTAATACATTATGTGTTTCAGATAATTCTTGTCTTCTGATTAGGCTGTTTAGATTCCTCAAGGGGAATAACTATTCAAGACATAAAGAATACTTGCACTTGTTTCTCGTTTATGATGATATTTCTGAGTTAAGATTGTCATCACTTTGTCAGACACATGTGTAGCAATGTAAATGCACCAATCGTCAAGAAAATGTTTTTAAATCATTAATTTGAAGATTAATTCAAGCCACTTTTGTTTGTAGATGAATCGACGGTAGAAGTCTAGAGAATGAAATTCATCTTTATTCATTACTGGGTGATGATTGAAGGTGAAATGAAAATTCGAACCAGCGAATACCGCGTTTCCGACCCGATGCTCTACCAACTGATCTACGAGGTCCGACTACTGACCAGAATTTTATTTCACTTCAAATGAAGAAAGATAGTCAAATAATAATCAGTATGATGGTCCCCCTCTTCTAATTCAGTTACATTTGATTAAGGATGATAAGTCCTGACTAGGTAGCCAGTGTAAATACGATCAAGCGGTAGTAACACGTCATGAATTTACATGGTAACCGAGCAAAACTATTGGTGATAAAATTGAAATAAAATTCTGGTCAGCAGTTGAACTTCGTAGCTCAGTTGATAGAGCATCGGACCGAAAACCCGATGGTCACTGGTTTGAATCCAATCCAAATTTTCATTCCACCTTCAGTTATCACCCAGTATTGTTATCATTATTTTTAAGAGGTAAAATTCTAATGAATGTAGAAAAATAAATTGTACAGGTTTCATTCTGTGAAGAAGCGATTTCCACAAGTTCATTAAACATCAGAAATGTATTTTTCTACTTTATTGTGATTTTATAAATATATATGTGAATCATTGATTCATATAACAGCAGAGTGAAATCCTTGGATATTGAAATGAAATTATGACTGTTTCAACAGCCAGAGTGTCGTAGCTCAGTTGATAAAAACACCAAGTTGATAATCAAAGGATCTTGAATCATCACTTTGTATCAGTAAAATGCCACTTGGCTAAACTTCATCTATTTCAGATAATCTCATTGATAAGAATAATACCTTATTATATATAGGTTAGAAATGATTGTTCATGTATTGTGAATGTGTAAAACATGATGACTCTCAGTGGAATCCAGGACACGTGTTTCGTTCTATTTAAGACTCACTCATCAGCTGGATGTACCTGAACCCCAATCAATGATGTTGTTCCCAGTGTGACTCGAAACCTCATTACCCATCGCTTCAAATGTCAAAGCGTTATCACTAGGTCACTTCGACATGGTAGGGACCATTTGTACAACGAATATCAGCTGTTGTTGTTGTTGTTGTTATTTCGAACTTGTAATATCCTATTGTTATATATGTGTTAATTGATTAGCTCGTACAAAATCCTCTACTCTTCATATTCGTTATATATGCAGAGGGCGTAAAGTAATTTTGGAATGGTAATTTTATTATTATTTTTTTATTTGTCCCTTGGATTCCTAGTGGAACATAGGGCTTCACTAGCACGTCTCCATTCCACTCTGTTCTCTACAATCTTTTGAACCTGGCTCCACGACAGCCCACAAGCTCTCATTTCTTCCTCACACCATCTCCTCCATGTCATCCTCAGCTGGGACGCCCAACTCGTCGCTTACCATTTGCGTTCTACTCGAGTACCTGGCCTGGCCTTCTCAGTGTATGCCCAATCCATTTCCACTTCCTGATACTGCATATTTGTTGAGTGATAGGTTGTTGGTTGGTTCATTGACAGTCACAGTTTCTTGTTGCTGATTCTTTCTGGCCATCCGATCTTCAGTAACGAGCCAGTGTAGACAGTTTTTGATGAATGTCTGTAGTTTGTTGGGAATGCCTTTCGTAACGCGCCAAGTCTGTTAACCATCATAAAGCAGCAATGACTTGACTGAGGTTGGTGTTTAAAGTCCGGATTTTGTTGACGCTTTATGGTGAGTGCAGAGGATCTCCACACTGGTTTCAGGTTAATGAACGCCTGTCTTGCTGTATTTCCGATCCTGGCTACTTTGACGTCCTCGTCTGTGCCGCCACCTGTAGTTGAGGCAGTGCTGCCTAGATAGGTGAGAGAGGCTACTTCCTTTAAGTTTCTCCCGTTGATGTTGATTGGTGCCTCTTGTTGTTGTTGGTGGTAATGGCATTAGTTGGATATCTTCATCACCTCTGTCTTCTCTACATTCACCTGAATGATGTCCTGTCTTCGCTGCTCTGCCCTGCCTCTTCTATCAACTTGTTGGATTTTGCCTGTACAGCTCCAAGTTTGTGTGACATTAGACACAAGTCATCATTGGCGAAAACCAAATCTTCTAGGATCTTTTCCTCGGTCCAGCGTATCCCCCTCTTCTCGCTGCTCACTGTTTGTTGCATGATCCAGTCGACCACGATAAAGAAGATTATGGGTGATAGTAAACGGCAGCCTTGTCTTACTCCTGTCTTCACTTGGGCTTCCCATTGTGAATTACTTGGCATGAGGTGTCTTCATATAGTTGTTGAGTGATTTTGATAATGGTTTGTGGTATTCCGTAGCGTTGAAGCAACTGTCAAATTATTTCTCGGTCGACCCTGTCGAAGGCTTTTCAAAGTCGATGAAGTTGAGGTAGAGTTGAGTTGACTACCATTCTATACTCTGTTCTATGATGATGTATAGTGTATCGTTGCAATTTGGTCTTCACATGATTTGTACTTCCTGAAGCCAGCCAGCCAACCAGCCAGCTTGTTCCGGTTTTTGAAATGGTAAGGTGAGCCATTATCTTTCATGATAAATAATCCAAATATTTTATGGTGTCGGTGTAAATTTTTACGAAGAAAACAACCAAAATCAATAAGAAGAAGGTGATGGAAAACAATGTATATAAAAAATGTTAAATATTTTGCATGTAGTATTTTTGTTGTCTATTTATCATCGTTGTCATTTGTTAATTGTTGTATCATTACTCTGTTGTCATTGTTATTGTTGATATCCCCACCTTTTTTTTGCTTCCCTTTTTTTCTTTATTTCACTGTTTAACTAATTCACTTTACAATGCTATGGTGTATATGGATCACTGGTAATCAACAATCAATCAATCAATCAATCAAATTATTTACTTTTTTAGTGTAAATTAATCTGTATTATATTGGCTGTGGTTGCTAGTATACTGATCCTGATTTCATTAGCCTCAGCAATTGGTTTAACTCGATGATAAATATAGGATTGATGAACAACTAAACTGCCTACACTTTTACTGTTTGCTGAATTCTTATATCACATTGTCAATAATGTGTAAATCTGTAGAAAATGATAAAATAAAGAGGAAGAAATAATATCTTGTAAAGTAGTCATCAAATATATGGTTGGTATACCCCTTGCACTAAGATAGTCATTTGTATAATGTGCTTCATTTCCTCTTCTACTTCTATCTTACTTTGATCTTAATACGCTGACATTGTCTATTACATTTCTCTAGGGAAAATCTTTACTTATTCATTGCCTTTAATTGCCTATGATTTCTGCTACTATATATATACTACTTATATCTGGTGTGGTCAACAACACCTACTACAACGTATTCATTTTACACTGTCTACATTGTATTATGTAATAGGAATTGAATTATTATTGGCGCCATAGATCAGCTGTTCCCTTTTTTTTAATTTAAAATGATTTATATCAAATTATTTTTTAATTTATTATAATAATCCACCTTATATAATCGTGTTTAAAGTTCGAATCCCTTCATTTTCTATACAGTAGACTAACGCTTACATACACATAAATATATTCCGATTGATTTAGGCATTTAATTAATTTTTTTTGTTTTTTTACAAAAGATTTTATACAAAGTCTCTTCTTAGGCCCTTTTTTTTTAACGGTTGACTATTATTGTACGTTTCGTATTTATTTATCATAAAAACACTCCTAATATGTTGTTAGGAATGGCTGGTAAACTTCAGTCTATTGACCTCTCTCTCTCTCTCTCTTTCTGTTTATTTATTTTTAAAATGTAGCGCAGTCTTGTATTTTATCTTTATCTCTAAATCTATAAACCGGAAAAGTGATTCATTTTATAGAATAATATTATTTAGTAAAATCACTATGATGATTACTCAAAGTTTAGTGGGAATCATTGTACTAGATAATCGAAGACAACTAGATTAGTGTACATGTTTGTTATCTTGAGAATGCTGCTTATTGAATGAACTCTAATCTAGTATCAGTTTAGGTGAATTGACATTAGTAAATACAAGAAATATCTAACTACTATGCATTATTTCTAATTATTTTTCAAAGAAATGCGTTTGTTATTTCTCCTTTTTTTGGCAGTAGGAAAACCAATCAGTTTCTTAGTTGATCGGAGGAAATCCTTAGGAAGCTTTGAATCTATAACCTTGTCGAAACTGATTTCCTATGTAAGATTTGAAGCCGCGTCCGTCATTCAATGTTTTAGTGAGTGACGTTACTACTGAGCTATTCGAACCACTATTCATCTCCTGTAAGACTGGTTGGTATACAATGATTAGTCACTGAAGGGCAACCAATTTCATGTTGCATAGTCGTGAGTGCTGACCGAATTCTGTTGGTCATTTTGCAGTTCGGCCATCAAACCAGGTTGGAGATGCGCCTTACTGGCGAGCGTCAACAATCATGAAACCTCATCAAGATCAACATAGGACCAGGTATTACCGCATAACGGTCCAAGTTGCTACACCTCCTATCAGCACACCAAGTAACAAGGACGAGTGAGGAGATGGTGACATTCGGTATAGCGGTTAAGATGACGATAATGTGTGTATACATCTGCGCCATTGACATCGGTTCTGAGCCACAGAGTATCCAATCATTGGTTCCTCATGTCCTATGGACCCCAACCACATGGTTCAAACCAACAGTCAGAGACTTCATGCATTGACACCATCTGACCACACTGAGCCTTTTTCCAGCCTGAACCTACTTCAGCCAACATTGTGTAACGAGGCAGACGGTGGTTAGGCATGCGTAACATGTCCCAGCCAGTCATCTGTCGATGGACATTCACAACCGCATTAACTGTCTTACCTCTCTTGCCTAAAACTCCCTGTCTGACTTCTGCGTTATTCATGTGGTGATACCAGGAAACATGGCCTATACTACAAATGTAGCGGTGGTTGAACATCTGAAAACCTCTCATATCTACTACCTTTAGTGGCCATGTTTCACAGCTATACAGTAGAAGAGAAAGGACTGCAGTAAAGTACACTTGACCCTTAATAGGCAATCAATCAATATCAACTTAGGACCAGGCATTACTGAGTAACACTACGAGTTGCCACACCTCATATCAGTACATCATGTAGAAAGGTAGTGAGGTGAAGGATGAAGATAATAGAATGCAGTTCAAAGAAATATAAAGTACGAGAAGAAAGAAAAGAGGAGTGACAAAATGGTGAGATTCAGTATAGTGTCGTTAGGATGAGGATAGGGTGTGTATACATCTGCGCCACTGACATCGGTTCTGAGCCATATCACCTAGAGTCTCCAATCGGATATCGTCGCGCCTCCACAAATTGCGTAATTTGGCAAAAGCCAACCGAGTGTAAAATCTAGGGCTTCCTGTCGATTGCCTTTAGCGAAATGACACCTATCAAAGTGCATCACTATTTTGAGCCTCTTAACTTACTGGCCACATTGCAAAATAATTGATAGGATTTAATCAGCACTGAGGACTAGACAACAGCGAACTATCGGTGCGATCGATTTCGTCAGGATTTTGCGATTAACAAAGATTTTAGTCGCGCGAAACTTTTGGTGTAAATAACTCGCATAGACTACTTCGAGTAACTTTCAGGCACAAGTATTCCTTCAAGTTAAATAGCTACTACCTTTTGGATACCTTATCATTAAAATCGTAAAATGGACAATTTTAGTCGAAGTCATCCATTTACTGCTGCTGAACTCTGTGAAAATGCTTACTTTTTAGCAGCACCATACATCCAGACGTTGAGAGAGAGAAAGGAACTCAGCCACCTTTTGCATATTCGTGCAGTAGACAATGAGCCACACTTATTGTGTAAGGGATAGTGATACTATTTGGCTCCCCAAACCTCGGTAGGTGGACTGGGGTGCGAACTCAATGGTTGATAGTCATCTTCCTAAATCACTGAGCCACAGCTCCACACCCAGTCATTATCAACATGTCGCGTTGCTTAATCGCATCGATTTCCAAGTCGCCACACTTTATATCGCATATCGAGATGGGAGTTAACAATAAAAAGTTATAAGATGAAAAGAAAGTGTTATCGAAATAATGATTTATATTAGTGGAATATTCGTCAAGATATGAATATAAGTGTGGTTAGTTTCTTAACCCTATCATGAATCACTGATTTCCAATATGTTTAGGATGGCAATCGGATAGTCTGCCCGGTTCAAATCACTACTAAGAGAAGCTGCATACATTTTTCCCAAGTCTTGGTTTCAATGGAGGTTAACTTTCTCGAAACCAAATCCTACTTTAAGTTGCATTTCATACCAACAGTGACTTAAGATATGCAATGCATGTTTAATCAGCTTAAAAGGTGAAGGTTCACAACTTAATTGACTAGTTTGCCTTATGCAACCAATTGATTGCCAATTTTGCGTCTACAGCTGAAAGATGTTCAAGAAAATTAAAACGATTAGTCCCCCTTATAAACTTCAATTCCTGGAGCGGTCATGGGTGCGCACTGCTGAGGAGTCCCTAGCTAGGACGAAACAGCTATCTGGGGCTGTAAGACTTCCAGTGTTTCTCCAACTGATGTCAGTCTCTGATGAATACCAACTTCGAATCAATAAATAAGTTGCCACAAACCTCCAATTTTAAGACAAGAAGACGTAATTCATCTAGATTGTGTAATATATTTGCTCAACACATTTATTCCACCTATATACTTTTCATAGTTGTTTATATGAAAGGTTATAGAGAGATAAGGGGTGAGAATACAAAAAGAGAGGTGAAGTAGAAATGCTAGATTAAAGACGAAAATAACAATGAAAATTAATGAAGCAAAAGTAATGGTAACCTGTATTCACCGAGGAAGGTCTAATGTTATGATAAATTTTCTTCAAGACATAGGTGACTTAAGATTCCTAATACTCAGGGCCTCAACAAATGTGAAGATAGAGCCCTGACATGTTTTGAAAATAGATGTAAAAGATATAGGAGCATCAGTTCTGTGACCCTGTCTCAATAATGTTTTAAAATCGAAAAGGTTGAACGTCTGTTATCGAAGTCGTTTGATTTGATTTATATTCGAAGCTATTTTACAATATGTTTTGAGGCACTTATTTGGAAAGATCGATCAGTTCCTTCCCTCCTATATATGTGTCACCATAAGCATACTCAAGTTGATTCACATAGTCGGGTGTGAAATTATCGTTCGGAAGAGTATACAGGATTGGTGGTTTCTAATTAACCTGACTGTAGTTGAATAGTATATCCTTTGAACGGCTGTATCAAGCCTTTCTTTACGTACCGCATTGTGGTAGTTGCCTATGTAAGGAAGCCTTCTTCAGGACAGAGTGGACAATCGGTCTCAGTGCTTTAGTTATTATGTACTGCCTAATAAATTTAGAGGAATATTTGTTTACAAGCAATCTGCTGCTAGTCAACACTTATCTCATCCTTTAAAGTGTTATCTGACTAAGAAATGCTCTCTTGTACTGCATTTTTTTGTAATCATAGATCCATCTTGCCATCAACAAATCAGTGTATTTCTATGAAAGACAAACAATCACCTTCCTCTTTAACATGTATCAAAGATATGTTCTCCTGTCCTTTGTTCAGTCGACTTAGAACTGATTGGAAATTAATTGAATACTCACATGATTCAGGTGTCATCAACATATCTTTGATAAAGATGAGCTTTTAAAAATTACGTCATCAGCTAAGTTTTTAATGTGCGACATAAATATATCTTCTAAAAGGAAAGACCAAAAGACTTCAGTCTAATGGAAATGTTCACCTTCGAATGGAAATTTGACGTTGCCTATACTTAAAAGCAGTAACTCTTTTATATGAAGTAGGAGAATAGTTATTGGAAATTTAACCACATAACTATAATCACACAGTAGCTCAACTATGTTTGTTTACCAAAGAGAAGTTATTGAATAGGGTGTCTATGTTAAACAAACACAATTTTATTCCTAATAATAATGCTACGAAATAGTGTATTTCCTCTACTTTGATGAATGCATGGTTCGATGTTTTTTGAAGTCGAACACATCACAGCCCACCTATTCGCTTCCAGGCCAAGACTAGACTACTTATTTCAGGTTCATGTCTTAATCACTGATTTACAAACATTATAATAGTCCAGAATACACTGATGATAGAGATTCATCGCTGTTGAAACTTCATCTAGTGGTGTGCTATTTTGAGCATTAGAATAAACTTTCGCAGACTCAAATTATTCTTGTAAGAGTAAAACTATGGTGGAGTATAATTCCCTATTACATAGTTTATTTATATAGTACACACTGATACAGTATGACTTACTGGATGACGTTTCGAGCGTTTAGAGAAAACCAATGCATTCGAATATATACTTGAATTTAACATCGTCTCACTCCATAACTGTCAAGGTAGGCTCGACGAAATGTCTAAGTCATCAAGCAAGTGTTCGACTAGTAATTCAGAAAGCTTTAATAAGGAACTGAAGCACGTCAGAGAGACACTATTTCTTAATAGCTACCCTCCGGAATTTATTTACAAGGACTGATAAGAGAAGGAGTGGTAATGTTAGTGTTGATTGCAACATTGTGTGGGAGGGAATTCAAATCCTTTGTAGTGCTGCTGTATAAAGAAAGCATATCGGAAATCTTCTGTAGAATTCCTAACAATACTGGTATTAGAGTGAAATTTAAACTCAGAAACTCGTTCAGAGAGAAACTTTCTAGGGTAAAAGACCCGGTAGAGCCAAATAAGAAATATAACCTAATCTATCAAATACCATGTAGTGTTTGTGAGGTCAAGTACATAGGTCAAATCAACCAATCTAGGTCAATCAGAATCGCAGAACACAAAAATTTAGAGAAACATACAATAGTAGACCTGAATAAGATAAATAGTTTCTAAGAAAACTCGGCTATCACTCCGCATGCACTGACCCATAATCACACTATAGAACTGGTGGAATAAGGTGAAAATCCTAAAATCCAATAGAGGTAGCTAGGTGGAGGGAGAAGTTGACTACAGAATTATTGTTCATTGGATCAACTATCACCTAAACCATGTCACATATTGTA